CGTTGAAGCTCATATTCGGCCATTCTTATTTTTATCCGAAGGCGATTAACTGGTATAAGTTTCATATATAAGTTCAATAGGCTGCATGACCCCCATCTTTTGACCCTGCCCGGTTTTCTCGGACAATGACTCTTAAACAACTAAAATAGCGGAGCTCCAATAGCAAAACAGAAGCTGAAAATGATTATCTAGTACTACTATTTCAAATTCGCTGTTTCAAGGAATGTGACTTACAAACAAATATTATAAACATATTTATTCATTAGTGAAGGAGTATTCAGAGTATGTTTATGGGAATTTCGTGCTCTAAAGTTAATATTGACTTCGGTAGATTTTGTTCCGTTGGACGAAGTTATTATAATCTGTAAAGGTCATTTGGTTTAAAATAAACTGAGTGCTTCTCGGCAAAAATAGCGTTTGCATAAGCTTACAATAATCAATCGGATTAAACGCGGCAAAAGTTCGATGTTTGGATGTTTGACCCTCCCTACTCGAACTTCACATCACAGAAAAATGTAAGCTTATAACTTAAGTTGAAAAAAAAATTATTGAACTTCCGATAAATAAATCATCGTTCAAAGGACATCGATCCTTCAACAGAACCACACTTGTTTCAAGCGCGGTTTCATCATCATTTAAATCTCTCTCAATCGAGTTCTGCTGATATGGTCTTGGTTTCAGCGAAATCCCCACACTTCTTGGCAAAAAAAATTCACACAGATTGTTGCTTTTCCCCATATTTTTGCAGTATTTTTAATATAGCATCATCTGTTTCTAGTTGTCGAAATGTCAAAGCTAGAAGTCATCCTGTTATTTCTAAAAACTGAACCTCAAAACGCTTGAGGAATCCTTGAGGATAATCGATTTCCCGGATGTGCACACGCGTCGTAGYTTATGAAATTGGCGGGAAATTGATTTGGCTCTCCTGTGATTTTTTTTTGCTTTTGTTTAATTTTTCTAATATTATCAATATGAAAGATAGGCGATTTTTTCTTCCTTTTCGCGCGGAATATGGATTATTTTTCTTAGTTATGGTGCTCCGCTATTATACAGCTATTTCCAAAACGTTGAATTCTGCATACTGCAAAGTGTATTCCAAGACCGCAATGCATTGGTGCTAATAACCTCATTTTAGCTGTGTTACAAAGCGACATATGTGTTATTTACCGGCTATAGGTCGGTCCGTATAGGAAAATACTGCCCGAGGTCTTGACAGTACGGAACGAGTGCAGCGAGGTCCTTTCATAAAAGACCGAGGACAGTGTTTTCCTATACGGACTGACCTATAGACGGTAAATAAATTTTTATTTTTTTATTTGTATTTTATGCAACTTTGCTCGCAGCCTAGCTGCAGGATACCGTCGGACCGGGCAGATCGTGAAAAATCGGACCGCGCGCTAGCCAATCACAGAGCGCGAATGACTAGGATACCGGACAAAAAAAAATCGATACTTTTAAATTGCTTACCACTGAAATTCTTGACTGTACGGAGCTGGAATAGTCACTAGTCTGGTCACGAAAGCTCCTTTTGACAGCGATAGAATGACCAACAAGTCATTTCGCCGGGTCTAGGAATGCGCCCGAGCGGAGCACCTTATCTAAGAAAAAATGGTATATCCATCGAGTCTATTTGTCATGGACACAAGGTCCCCGCGCGTACACACGTTTATTAGAGTGATTTAGCATGAAGACGCGCATCGCTCAAGACGCGCCATTTGACCGGGTTTTCACTTCGAAGACTGGGTACGAGGTCACGTCAGTTGCTTTGATTTAGCTGACACAACGCGAACGTCAACGAAAACGTCAACACATCAAAATGGCGG